TTATTTCGAATCATAGAGTATTCAGAAAAAAATCTGATTCAGAAAAAAAATCACAAATAAGGAAAGGCGGAAAAATCTCTCATATCCTGAGAGTTAAACTATAGAAATTTCTAGTTTGTTCGTCTTTCGGTGATACAAGAGACAGCACCTTTCATTAGTCTAGTTGAGAGAGAAACCAAGCACGCAATTTGGCCTGGAGCGGCACGGTTCAGAGAGCAATGATGGCGAGAACTTGAGATGGAAAGGAGAAGCCCTATCGGCGCACCGGTCAGCATAAAACACATATTAGCGCCTACAAGACTCCATGAATACTTCACGCATTGCGTCAAACGTAGCGCGGTCAGCAGCGGTTAGCGTGAAACGCATAGCGCCTACAAGACTTCGTGGATACTTCACTCATTGCGTCAAAAACAGTGCGGTCACTTGGTCAGCAGCGGTCAGCGTGAAACGCATTGCGCCTACAAGACTGTAGGGATACTTCACGCATTGCGCCAAACACAGTGCGGTTGACGCGGTGGCGGAAATTAAGATCATTAGACCACATTCATATTTATTCTTATTCATAATTTTTTCGTTCTTTTCTTATAAATGAAAGGCATCGTCCACACAGAGATAGGTCTACGAGTTGTACAGCTCGTATTATTTTTATAGCTAATTTACGAGAATCAAGCATCAAAAACGATTCTGGGACCAGCGCAACTGACCCATTCCCCAGATTACCTACTGTATTTTTCTATCGTTCGTGCAGAAAACGCACCTATTACCTAGTTTACCCGAAAAATGTCAAGAGAATGTGTCTGAATTTCCTCCAAATGTCCTATTTTATCATTGGCTTCCTGCACGTACGATAAAAAAAAAAAACATTGCAACAGTTAGCTAATCTTGAAGCAAAGTAGCCCATTCGATGGTGCACACCGAATAAACTAGTGTTGTAAAAAAATTGGTATTAGTACACGAATGATCTACTGGTGTGTACCAACTGAACTGGTGCTGTGCATCAATCGCACTATGGTTGTTGGTATGTGAAAAATGTATTAGTCTGGAACCTGCATCACAAATTGGGCCGGTTCGGTGTACAGCACCTGCGGTCTGATTCTTGAAATTCATAGATAAAGCTATAGACAAAGAAGACAAAAGGAATATGGAGGGATCCTATTGGTGGTAGTGAGTGGTTGCAATGGACGAAGGTTGCATGCGAATCTATGGCAATAGACTCACTAACGGCAACCCACGAGAGACCCTATAGTTAGTTCACCATTTTCTCCCTTCGTCTATAGGAACGAACTATTTCAACCAGTATGATCGCTCCATACTCCCTACTCCCTATGTCTTCTTTGTCTATAGCTTCGTCTGTCAAGTTCAACAATCAGCCTGCAGTTTCGTTAGCTGGCTGGAAATAAAAGCAATTGTTCCCCGTGTAAAATTCAAGTCAGAAAACGTCGTTGTTAAATTCAACCGAAATCGAATTCTACTTGGGTTCGCATTCAGCAAAAAGGAACCAAAGCGATTACAGTGTTGTAAAAATGTCGCTTCTTCATAAGTACCTAAGATTTCTCTCAGAATAGCAAATAGTTTTTGCTTACTATCGAAAAATTATTAATTTTTAAAGAAAATAGCTGTGCAAATTTTCATTCTATAAATGCATCAGGAATTTTTCGAAAAAAAAAGAAGTTGCACGAATTTGAAAACGCTCTAATTGCGCTGGTTCCTTTTTGCTGAACGCGATCCATCGATGAAAACAACATTGCAAGTATCCTGGAGATTTCGAATTTTATCGGATGAAATTTGGCAACTTCCGAGAGGCGATGCGGCGTTTTTCCCGGAGCGCGTCAGAATAGCAGCCCCCTTGCACTATGCAACCCGCACCGCGTCGCTCGCCTCACCTGCCTTGGAATGCCGCGCGGGCCGATAAGGACGCGAATCGTCATAACCGGGAAGCCTCGGAATAGGTAATTAGCGCCTAATTGTGTCATATTTCAACCGAATAATTCCCTCCCCGACCCCGGGGGTAGCGGGGGGTGCCGAAGCCGAGTATGAGGGGGTGGTGGGGCGGGGGCGCTAAGAACTCGGTCTCCTCTTCCGATCGCGTGAAGCTCGTGCGGGAGGGGCGCGCCTGGAACCGCGCGAAAACTTTCAGAGGAATTTCTTTCCGTGCAGTCGGCCTGATAACCGTTTTGCACCGCGATCTCCGTTCGAGCAGTTTATCTCTGCCAGATTAGTTTCAGTTTTTACTTTCGAGGCGGGCGGGCGCCCCCGACGAGTGCAAGCGTCCGCAGTTCCGCTGCGCCCGTCAACCTGACTGTCTTGTGCCCTCTCTGTTGCCGATTTTACCTTTGGAATTGATTCAATTTCGCTCGAACTCAGTTCAAAGGAAGTGAAATTTGACCGCGTTAAACAGAAAGGAACCAAGCCACATCAACTAATGCCAAATTTCACATGAAGATTTCATTTTTCACGAGAGAACGTCTGCGCAGATTCCCTTGAAAATTCCAAGGAATTTGCTTTGTATTATGGAGAAAATTTACTGAAATTTGCACAAAAATCCGCACAACCGTTTTGATGTAAGAAACTAAATTGCCCGATTAAATTTGGCAATAGCTGATGTGGCTTGGTTCCTTTCTGTTTAACGCGGTCCAATTAATCATACCGAGTCTTCTCTGAAAGCACAAACATGGGAGAAAAACGGGAAACAAGGCTAAAAATTACACATAAAAATCCGGGACGTTTTGGCCCAAAACTGAGCCATTTTCAGTTGGAAGAATAAAAATTCCGAATAGCAACCTGCAGACTCCACGATGGCCGAGAAAATTAAACCAAAGAGAAGAGAGGAAAAGACTGATAACACGAGGATCATCGTCTCTGAAACAGATACAATTTTTTACGAAGTAGCCCGAGACAATGGTACATGAAAAAAACAAGGGGAAAACGGGAAACAAGGCTGAAAATACAACACTGAAAACCTGAGACGTTTCGACTCAGAACTGAGTCATTTTCAGTCGGAGAATAAATTGAAAATTAAAAAATATCTATGAAAACACCAGAGACCTAAATGTTGGCGGCCGAGATCCGAGAAAAACCAAACATGGTCTTCTCTGAAATATTTTTGGAGAACATAATAACGAGGAAAATATAAAATTGAGAAACTTTCATGCGTAAAAAACTGACCTAAAAAAAATCAACCTCCGCAGTATGTACTTTCTCGGATTATTTTTATTGTTACTCGGAAAGTAAGTAAATGAAATGTTGAAAAGTCCTTGAGTATGATATTGATTTTTTCAAAGCGATTCACCATTTTCCTCGATAATTAACCGGAAAGTACATCGAATACAGCCAAAAGTTCGACCTTTTGCAAGATTTGAGTTTAATCTTTAACATTTCAATAAAAGAGGCAAAGAGGCTTCTTTCTGAGAAGTGACAATTTGAGTTGGCTTCTATTCTTGTAATCCTGAGAATATGGTCTGGGAGTTGATCTTAAAGGTTAAATCCGTGCAATCGCAAATTTTCTGCCTCTGTGGTCATCTATTTAGACCTTAAAGGAATGAGCAAGGCAATCCATCCGATATATTGGGAAAACTCATTGAATTATGTCCCCTTAGATCACATTAAATGTTTCAGGAAAACTTGGAAACCATGAGCGTATTCCATGGCATTTCATTTACGGGTGGCTATTTCATCCTGTTTCATCAATTTTCTCATGCAACACTTGTTAAACTTCAGCTTTTGCACTTACAGTCATTTTGCAATTTTTCATGGCTTTTTCATGGCTCGTCTCCAAATTTAATTTTTTGTGCTCCTATTGATCTCAATATTATGAGGTGTTAATGGCATATGTATTGTTAAATCACCTAATAAGTCCATTAAGCAACCACCTAACCCGACCCGAAAATATACATCGAAGGTGAAACTGCAAAAATGTGTAAAAAGTACGTCAAATAGCGCGCTTACTCGGAACACACACGAACAATAGCTGTTCGTCGGACGGAAAGAGGCGACTTTAACGCCTCGTCAGCTCGCCTTCAATTTTTAGTGTAGGCAACATTGGCTCCCACGTGGTCGAATAGTGGTATGATCGGAGTCATCGGCAAAATCTCTGTTCCTACTTAATTTTTCAAAAGGACACCAAAACAACATCGTGGCTTGTCACAGAATATTCTTCATGTAGAGAAGAAATATCACCTAAGTTTTTAAAAAAAAACAGAGATTGATCTTTTCCGTAAAGAGAAAATAAAATATATCAGGAAGTCTGCAAGGCATTAAAACGAAAATACGCATTTCTGCTGTATCTCCATCGATTTATATACTGAAGAACGCAAAAGCGAAATTATACCGATAGTCTGGTTCATTCTTTAAAAAAAAAAACACATCTGGATAGCATTTAGCGAAAAGGAACCAGCGCGACTACAGTGATTTCAAAATCGTGCAACTTCTTCTTTACTTTTACAAATACTCAATATAAGTGCAATATTAAAACTTGCACAATAATTGAGGGGCTTGAAGGACAATGCGCATATGCGCGTTTTTGCTATTTCAAGAAAGGCGTGTTTGGAGTTTCGAAATTACGTGGATCCCTATGGCGGAAGGAAAGTTCAAACTGACGTTTTGATGCCTAAAAATTGAAATTTGGGAACGAATTTCTCACAGAGGATGCATTGAGACTAGTTTTACATAAACTCATTAATATCTCAATTTTTTCAAAAACTGCAATTATGCGCCTTGTCTTCCAAGCTGCTCAATTTTCCTTTAAAATTAACAATTTTTTGGTGGAAATGAAAAACTATTTGCTACTCAGAGAGATTTTTCAGATAGTTATGAAGCAGCAACATTTTTACAACACTGAAATCGCGCTGGTTATTCCATTTCGCCAAATGCGATCCATTTAATGATCGTGCAAATGGAATATGTCTAAGAACAAATATAATTAACTGCAAAATTCGGAGCAGTCACGCATCCTAACATTCTGTCTTCGACCAGCTGCTTACGATTCAGGAATGGTGTTTCAGGGACGACCGCACTCGAGGTCAAGATCGGACAGCAGTCGACTGACGTGCCAGTGTTGGACCTGAATCAGTTTTGCGAGCTCCTGGAGTCGGACGAGCAGCGGACGCAATGCCTCGACTACGTCAGTAAGCACGTGATCGTCGGACCTCAGACTCCTGAGGGCCTTAAAACTGACGACAAGAAGGAGAAAAATCAAAAGGAGAATCCATGGAAGCTTCGTGGCGAATTCGATAGAATCCCGCTCGATCTGCAGGTTGGCCCGAGAGACTACTCAACACGAAAAACATGAAATTGCTGATTTAACAATTTTGTAGTTTAAAAAAAGTGTCCGACATGTTTCAATGTAGATTTTACAAGAAAAAAAATGCAAATTTTACCACCCCCGTGCTCAAAGTTGCTATCTACCATTGTAAAATGTGCATATGAAACATGTCGAACACATTGTTGTAACATTTATTTATTAAATCAGGAATTCATTTTTTTCCGTGAAGTATCACCTAACCGGAGACAATATATGAACCGATTATTTTCCAAATCACGCAAGCGCCAAAATTGCGAATGCGAAAAAAAAGAAAAATTTCGTTTTTTTCGCTTTATTGCCAATCTTCGAATTCCAAAAAATATATGTTCTTTCGGAAGGCTATTTTAAAATCATACATGATTATGGTTATACCCGAGAAAAGCAACCCCTCTACTATACCAAAATAGAGATTGGATCTTACTTGTTTTGGAAAAAAATCGGTTCATATTTGGACTGCATTTTAAGGAACTACAATTTCTAGCTCATACATAAAAACACCTATCTGCATAGAGAAACTGAATACACATTTGTTGTTTCGAACATGAGCCAGAAATTGAAGTTCCATTTCCAGTTTCCAGTTCCAAGTTCCAGAAATTGTCAAATGCAATTTATCTTAGATAACCCGCACAAAGAATCTAAGGAATGTAATCGGTTGATTTCCAACCTTTGTAGCTGTTCTTCACCAAGGATTTTCAGTTTACAGCTGGAATAATTCAATAATCAAATAAAGGTTATATAAATGTGTGTTAAATCCCAAAAGAGCCTTTGGTCCTGGTTAATATTGCTTAACGTGAGCGTTTGGTTCCAGGTTTTTGTCCCGTCGGAAAACAGCTGGTACCTTCAAGACTCACACAATCACAAGTTCCTTGGAAAACCCCTTATCAGGGATGATAAGAAGCCAGTGAGTAGTACAGATGGATCCGATGGAAAGCGCGAGACCCTGGTCCGACTTTGACATCCCTTCTGGAAGATCAAGATCATCCTTGAGTGAAGTAACACCGTCCAGCTGCTGAACAAAACTCTCCATTTTTCGGAATACTTCATACGTAAACTTAATGGGTATGCCAAAGTTTCGTCTGGAGTGTGTCGATTTTTATTCTTGTGATCAATGCCCTCTCAGTCCAGCGAATATATTTCAACTGAAAAGTTCACCCGGTATCGTCCTAATGCACTTGTTCGTATACTTGCACATAATCCTGACATGGCCATGAAATACATAAATGAAAATGCAAAAGTTTCTAGCTTAAGCTACATCTTGAATTGAGTCTACGAGTTTCGTTTGCACGTATTTCCGCCAAACGGAACCATGTGCATTATGAAGTGAGCCCTGTTATGCATATATCCTTATGGTTCTCAGAGCTCATGTCTCAATGTACATGGTTCCGTTTGGTAGAGATACGTTCATTCAAACTGTAAAAAGGTCTCTTGGTTTCAAAAAACAATCCTGGATTGGGTCCTTTTGAAAATTCATCAATAAAACGATCAACTACTCTCCTTGAAACTTGTGCTTAAAGAGACATTTTGAGTATCCTTAGTTTATAAACTTTTCAACATTCAAAATTATTGAATCCTTGACTATAGGCAACATAATTGAAAATCTGTCCACACAACTAACTGCGAGGCTAAAATTTCAGTAAAATTCGTCATGTTCTCCATCGTTGGATTCTGTTAGTCTAAAAATGTCAAAGAATGATGTCATAATGAATAATAAATGAGCACATAAAAAACTCTGAGGCAAAATACTCAAATTGTTTGTGTTATGTTAAATAAATTGTTGTTTTAATTCAAATTGTATTTTTTTTTCTCTACCAGATTCGAATCGAAAAGATATTTTCATTACGTACTTTATTATTACCTCTACGAAAGCAGGATATAATATTATTTACAACTGAATACGTGGTTTGTAATTGCTGGCTTTGTGCCTATATCTATGAGAAATAAAGTCTTCCTCGAAAAGTCAGATGACTTCATTCGTCAGACGTCACAGGAGCGTGTTTTGACGGTAAATTTTGAAAGATTAGGGATAAAAGTGCAAACCTCACTCTACTATATGTCTACAATTTGCGATGTAACAAAAATGCAACTTATTTAAATTTTGTTGAAAAAACTGTCAATTAGAGGATCTGGACTCTGGAGCCCCTTCAAATAGTGAATGGACAACATGCACAACACGCTGATACATTAGCAATAATTTAATCAGTAAATGCAATTATTGTTCATCGCAACCTGTGCGACTGGAGTTGGATGGCAGTTCATATTTTATGAATGGTTTCAAAACGCAAGATTGATGAACGAACGACCGCACGGTTACGTTGGATGAAATCAGTCAGCTGTGCTGGATCATGAGCGGACATTAACTCCATATTTTCGACCGACGAATACGTTGAAATGAAGGTCAGGTGAGATGCGGGCACCATGATCTCGAGATCAGCTTTGAGGTCACAGGCCAAAATTCGATCGTTAGACGTCAATGTTCCACGGTGGAAATTGTTGCAATTATCGAAATTATGTTTTCACTTACGAACGGAGGAGTCACACAGGCGATCTTCAACTGGACGCATTTCTGTCAAACGGATTATGACGTAAGCCCGGTTATGCATATATTCTTATGGGTCTCGGGGCTCATGTCTATACATAGTTTTGTTTGGCAGTAATACGTATAATTAACATCAAAACGGTGGGAAAAATTCTCATCGTGGTTCTAGAAGCTGCACTACTGCAGTTATCTCGTCAAAAGCAGGACGTTAGTGTCCATTTGCAGTGCAATTATTGTTGCATCTTAACGAGTGGTTTCAAAATTAACTGAATCTATTAGACAGGCTTGGAAACCGCGAGAGCAATATTTCTCATTTTTCCAAGATGTGAGGTTATTTATTTTTTTTATTTCATTCCACTTTTTGGTGCCAAAAATTCAGAAATGCATATCAAAAAATTGGAATCATTTTTAGTTACTTTAGGGGAATTTAGGTCGTTCATAGAGGTTTCATAATCCATTCTCCAGGCGTTCAAAATTTCATGGATTAAAGCCGAATGGAATCTTGTTTTATCGGTGTCATTAAGTCCAACGGATACTAATCACCACTCTCAGGAATCGAATGCAAGAGTCATAGTCAGATCACAAGGCAGACTAATCGGGAGCAAAATTGAATGAGTATGAACTGGATTGCATTTTGCAAAAAGGAACCACTAGCATTGCAATGTTGCTAAGATTGTGCAACTTTTTTTGTCTTGGAGGAAAAACCCGATTATCCATTCATAGTTTCTATTTTACTCGCTAAAAACTGTAAATTTAAGACAAAAATTACCATCTAAATTTCATAGTTTTTCACGATTTCCGCAATTTTATTGCAAAAGATGAAGTTGCACAATCTTAGCATCATTGCAATGCTAGTAGTGGTTCCTTTTTGCAAAATGCAATCCAACTTGTATGGTAGTATTGTTGAAGTCGTTAGACTTAGGAGAGCTACATCGCGACGTGGCACAGTTTTGCAAGACAGTTCATTTATATATTCATTAAGTAGTGGGGGCATATATTATGTTGAACACATCAGGGATTTTTGATCAAACCACAAAAAAAGTCTCCAGCAATTTTCAAAAGTAATTTGAAACAATTTTTAAGTACATATTGATGGATTATTGAGAGAAATTCTGCAACGTTGCCTTACACTGAATTCTCTCTGGCTCTGATCCTCTAGACTACTGAAGTATTAACTCTACTGTGTTGGTATTCTCAAGAATGCTTAAAAACTGAGAGCTTAACGATATGAAAAAAATATGCAACGTGCAAAGTCTCTGTTGTGCTACTTTTAATGAAAAAGATAAGGATGTTGAATGCACAATGTTTATAAATGTATAGGTATGGTATACCAAGTATCTGGTAGGAGTGTAAATGTATGATCACCAAATGCTACTGTTCTGTATCTTGATTTTTGTAAAGATAAATCTATTCCGAAAGTTCAAAATGTACTGGCAACTTTGAGAGAAAAATAATATGAGGATGCTCTGAGCGGATTCTGAGATCAAATGGAAAGAAGCGAGGGCTCCAATCATGCCGCTTCACAAAAAAATATGAAATCTCACGACATGCAAAATAAATCGCATGCGTTCTTCCACTCAAGGAAAATATTAAACAGCACCGCTTTTCTTCCGAGAGGGCAGAGAGGCTTAAAATAATACTAGCCAGCATGGTCCATTTTTTAATTTAAATAACACTCATCCGCAGAATCATATTATTTTCTTCACATTTATTATCTATTAGCAAATCTAGAAATACGTAATTACGGAAATCGAAAAGATAGTCCTAACAACCAAACTACCTGTGAAATCTCAGGTGCGCATATCTTGACCTTTGCTAAACTTTTGCTGAATGTTGAGCTGAAATATACTTCCTCCACCAAAATCTACATACACGAAAAAGGGGAAAAATATTTCGGAGATGTGTGCATATAACTAAGATAAAACTAAGACAAAAATATCGACTTCCAAAGCATTTATTGATAATAAAACTAACATATAAAAACAACACATAAGTCGATTGAGATGTTTCAATATCTTCAGTATTATATCATTTTGGTGGAGGGGGAGCTAAATGCTTGTCTTAGGACATTTTTTTTTGGCACGTGTGAATGATGACACAAAATCAAATAAAATGTCACAGAAAAAACAATTGATTTCTTTATTAAAATAAAATGAGGCGTGAGGTTGCAACGTTGCAAACATCTATACATGAAATAATGGCTCTTACATCGTTATGTAATTTTTGAGTGCACATGGAAAAAGTCCTATATTAATCCAAGCTTCCATTACATATTCCCTTCAAGAAGATTTCGTGTGTTCAAAGGTATCAAATAGAGAAGCTCAGAATTGTAAAAGGAATGTCGGTTAATGTGAAAGGAGTTCCATTTAAAATTATGGAAATTTCTTTTTTGGGATTTTCCTGCGGAAAATACTCGATGGTACTTACTTTTCCAATGATGGGAATTTTCCTCAGTGTAATTAAATTGAGGTTAATAGGAGATCCGACGAGGAAATGAAAAAGTCGAGCAAAATGGAAACCTGCAAGAAAAGACGAAAAAATAAGATCTGGAAGAATCGGAATACGGCTAATTGAAGTCCCTCTAAATTCAGCTGAAAGTCATTAAAAGAAACGCATTGAAACTTTCCGCGTAAACCCTGCTCACCGCCACCGCTCTCCTCACTGATTAATTCACGTATTTATTTACCCATAACTTTTTTATCAGCGTTGGTTGAAATATTCTCAATTGAATTGGAAGTAAATAAAATTATGAGTCGCTAATACATAACGATTGCCACAGAATTTTCACTTTCAATTTCCGAAAGATAAAAGGGTCAAAGTTGCCAGCGTTCTTTGGGTGAATGGGTTTTTTTCTTCTTCCTCTTCTTCTTCTTCTCTTATTTTCATTTTAATTTTACAGAGAAAATTTAAATTCCGGTTGGTATTGGACAGTTAAAAGTCTAGAGACAAATCCATGGGGTTCAAATTGATGTTTCACTTCTTTTAGTGTCTTCTTGAGTTGATTTTTTAGACGGAGAGCCGTCAAACAGATTCGCCTATGATGATTTCCCCGGGATTTCTATCCTCCCAGAGTGAAGTGTATGTAACATTTTCAAGATTATCATAAAGTGGGAAAAGTCAAGTCAAGGATCAAGAGAGACTTAGGCTCTATGGACAACCCCCACCCCGACCCCCCTCGACTAAACCATTAGTCGATTCTGAAATTAATAAAAACAAGAAGATATATCCAACATGAATATGTTGGAAAAAGCGTGCCGATAATTATAGCGTGGAGACACACTGTTTCCCACCTCCCTGCAGGCTGATTGTTGAAAGAGATAGATGAAGCTATAGACAAAGGATACAAAAATGATATGGAGGGATACTACTGGTGGAAGCGGGTGGTTGCAATGGACAAAGTTTGTAGGCAATAAACTAACGAACGGCAACTCACGAGAGACCCTTTCGTGAGTCCACCCTTAGTCTATAAGAACCACCCACACGAACCGATAGGATCGCTCCATACTCATTATGTCCTCTTTGGCCATCAGTCTTAACAATCAGCCCTCTGCCCTCCCCCGTCCTCCCCCCTCGGATGAGCCCCAACCCGGCATACTTTTGGGATGACAACGCAACGGCGCGAAGCAAAGTTTGAAAGCTGAATGGTGAATGGGCCCGCTGGAAAAGGCGAGTTAATTTTCGGCCGGACTCCTCATTACCGGGACGGATAAATTTAGTTTAATTGCATCATGAATGGGTTGAGACCCAAACATTAGGTTGATGGGTTTGCGGGCGCGGGAAGAGAGACATGTTCAACTGGTGTGGAAGAGAGGAGGAGAGACGTCCCGAAAAAAGGACATCGTTGCCGATGTTGAAATGTTGAATGCATCGAAACATTCACACAACTCATCCGGTGGAGGGCTCTGAATTTGTTGTTGAGCATGAAATGGAAACGGGCTTAGCAGAAATGATCGAAGCCACATCATATACGGCCAAATTTAACTGGGCAGTTTAATTTTTTACAAGGGAACGTTGTGCGGATCCCATTGAACATTTCAAGGAATTTGCTCTGCATTGTGCAGAAAATTCACTGGAATTTACACAAAAATACGCACAACCGTTTTCTTGTAAAAAATTAAACTGTCCAATAAAATTTAGCAATAGATGAAGTGACCTGGTTCTTTTCTGCATAACGCGGTCCAAATATCTTCTGAATATCTGCGGTTTGTCAGCGGTGCTTTAATAGTTGCTAGGCAATGAAGTCGGCACTAAAC